GAATTTATTACTAAAGAGCTATTTACTCATGAATGCCCTAATTTTGGAATTTGAAAGATACCAGATAATATATTTTCAATAGAAATTAGCTGAAAAACAATATTTTGTATTCAGAGCTAAGCTAACTGAAGACTTAAGAAATATTATATATTTTCTTATTATAACTAGATTAGAAGAATAGTTTAATGATAAGATTATTATTGAAAATTTTATTATAAGCTCGATCTTAACCTGTAATTAAATAAGAACGAATACCGCTATCGATATTGATAACTCGATATCACATCTAAAATGTTCAAGGTTTCATATGTACAACGGAATCCACAATAATTTCCGTGATAATTAATCTCATGTCGCTTAAACAAGATACATAGGCACTCGTGTTCAGTACGTGTTACCTACCTAACCATAAATTATCGTGTCAAGTCACGGCAACTCTGCGATACGGTTAAACATATACATATCTATTCAAACTGTCGCGTCTCGGTCCCAGCGGAAAAGCAAAATATGATATGACACTCAAAAATGGATAACTCGATGAATCGAAGATGGAATAAATGAATGTATTTTATAGTAGAAATAATCCCGAAAGCGACCGACAATTCTTCATTTCATTCACGTTCCCTTGCGATGAAACTTTTTCTCTGCAATTTTTCTGTGGAGGGCGGGGGGTTATCAGGTGGGGCGCTTTGCCAGTCGCCGCACGTAGCGCCTTGGAGCCCCGCCGCCCGGTACCCGCCCGCTGAATACAAACTTCATTAGCCGTTTGATAATTAGCCCGTTAAACGCCCCTCACTCAACCAAATACGATCTCCTAAGCCAAATCCTATCTACACCTACGTAAGCCTGGCAATAAAAGTGATAAAACCCAACGCTTAAAGATTAAGGTAGATTTAGGAACTCTGCGAAAGTTTAGTTACGATTATCAAAAACTTAAGGAAGGTAAGATTTGTTTTAACGTACATATTATTATAAAAAAAAACAAATAACCAAAATGTATTGATTAGCAATTGTAGCATGTTGCACTGAACTTTATTATAATGAGCAACCCAATTCGCGCTGTTTAGATTAATTAATATGATTTCTCAGTTAGACCAGTCACGACCATAACTGTCGATTGTGATTGGTAAAGTGAATCGATTAGTTGGTTCGTTGTTGCGTAACACAATAGCTGTTATCATTGCATACGTTGCAATTTGCAACACAATTTGAGAGGCTTTGAGTGTCGTAGTTAACGCCGACTGCCGCCAAAAAGTAAAATATTTTCCTCGTTCATTACTGTTTGGAGTGGCGTTTTTTTTAATCGATTGATTTTCGAAGAGTTTCATTAATGAGTTTCAACTCGACTTCTATTTTGATATCTTTATCCTCGATTTAGACACTACTAAATATTTTATGTTAGCTGGTTGTTAATTTATTTTTAACTTGATTCATTGAAAACGCTTCAATGGTACAGTCTCATAAGCTCTTATGCTATGGATTATAAATAAGCAATTTTGTGTCTTTACGACGTATTGGGCCCAGGTAATACGTAATGTGTGTGCTGAAATTTATGTATAAGTTCAAAATGTTATAGTTTCGTTGTACCTCAAGTTTACTAATGGTTTCCAGTAGCTTAAGGTTTCGCAAGCATTGATTACACCAGTAAATTATAAACTTATCTACAGATAATTCTATTAATTATTAATAGACGCAAGACTATTTGTATAAAATGGGAAGAAAACTCTGCTTAAGTTACCTAATTTTGCGAGGGTATACGAATACCTTATAGCATTAAATACCCTTATCGTATCTAATATACATAAGATTTCAGAACATTTATATATTCTGTAAAACCCTAAAAGACATTTATAAAACATTTTAACCGTAACATCATTCGGAAGGAAGCGAAAAGCAATACAAAAGAAACTCCTTGGCCAACGTATACGCTGTGGAGGAAAGTTGGAAAAATTAGGAAACAATAAAACAGGAAATGTGTTTTCTTTAGACTAGATTTGTTCCGAGTTCAAACAGATGTAATTTTATTTTTTGCAGTAAAAAGCAGCTGCACTGTACGAAACTAGCGAATTACCCAGTCTCTAGTAGTTAGGTAAATGAGTTGGTACTTGAAATTGGTTCTAAATTAATATGTTAATTTAGTAATATGCTCTGCGATTACTTAACAATGCCTTAACTATGGGCTATTTATAAATTAGATTTTTGTACTAATTTCACAAAAAAAATCCAGAGTTGCCTGGAATGCTTAAGCGATAAGAAACTATACAATGAAGTAAGATTAAGTAACATTTTCACCTTAAGGTTGGAGTATTTTTATTTTAACGAAATAGGAGGCAAACAGGCAGGAGACTCACTTGATGTTAAGTGATACCGCCCGCCCATGGACACACATATTGCCAGAAGGCACGACAGTGTGTTGCCGGCCTTTAAATAATTGGTACGCTCTTTTCTTGAAGGCCCGCTGATACGGATGGTATTTTGTATTCTGCCTTGACGTCCGATAATGAAACATTTTAAGATAAAAATGTGAATATCTTTTGTCTTTTGATAGACAATTTACACGAGAGTTTTATGATGAACTATAAAAGTTCGATATTAAATATGATTTATGGGTACAGTATCATTCTCATTATCATATATCAACTAGATATGTCTTTTTAAAGGACTGTAACTAGTAGATTCCTATTATCCCTTTCTTTCAAAACGCGTTTATTCTCTGATAAATAAAGAACACAGAATTCTAGTTAATTGGAATTAGGGTGGTGTACTTTTTATAAATAAGGGTTAGTATTTTATCATGTTGAATGGTTATCTTTTGAACATAATTGTACCGTGTATTTGATTTTAACTATTCCTCAATGTTAGTGAATCTTTCCTACATGATAGATCATAATCATTAATTAATTTATCAAATATAAAATAGGCACCCTTTAGGTATTACCATCATATTTTTCTAGAACAGGCCCCCAATGCCAGGGGGCTCGCGAGTAGGTTGCCGGATAACAAAACTATATTTTATTACAATAGTTTCACAGATATGAGACTACAAATAAAAATAAAATGCTTTCCTAATTATTACTTCAGTTTGTTGGTCAATCGTTCACACTTATCCGATTGATTAATTTTGGCATAAAGATAAATGACACCATTAGAAAGGAAAATAGGATACTGTTTATCCTATTTCTTCACAGGTGAATTTACGAGGATTCGATGTATTATTAGTTACTTATAGAGAGATTCAGATTGATGACTATCACTTAGATAACTAAGAAACAGATACCTCATTTGTTTCTTAATTAGATAACATTCAACGAGCAAGCTATGCAAAAGTTTATCATCTTATGGAAATCGTATGGTTTATATTTTATAATAGATTTTCAGTTTTATTATATTAAAATCCAGTGGCGATAAATCCAAATGGGTTTTGGCGTCAGATTGCCTCCGTTTCTTGGATAGGTTTTATAGAGGAGTAGATTATCAGCTTCCCGTGACTTATACATGTCGTAGTTTTTTGAATTTAGACATGTCTCACTGTCACGTCACAATGACCTTTATAGTAATAGTATTATTTTAACGCTCATAGAAAGGAAAATCTGATCAGGTGAAGCTGACATTTGAATGCCCGACCTCTGGGATAACCCAGTGTGCTTACAGCACTGTTTACACAATAATTATTAGTAAGTAAAAAAAGGGTCGACTGTCTTTTCAAAATCACATTACATAATACATAAAATCTTATTAAATATAATTTAAAATATTACATTAGGTATCGGAAGTAAACGCATTTAATTTATGCCAACTTATTTTTCACCAATTGTAAAAAAATAAATTGTAATGTTATTTAAATTCTACTTTGTATTGCAATTAAATATAGAATTACCTTAACATTATACACAATTGTTTCACGGGCTTCACAGGAAGAATCGTCACGGATTATTTAGATCACACCTGACATACTTAAACTTATAACGTTACTAAAATAGACTTATAAAGTGAAATTTTAAATACTCGCGTAAAGAAATTAGTACAGCGCTTTACCTTAAAAATACACGTGTTACATTTTTATTCAGCCGGTTAAAATGATAAATGCAGGCGGCACGGATAAAGATTGAAAGAGCGAGACGAGTTGACTACTTGGTAATTCGCACTTGATACCGCGGCAACATTAAAGTTATTAAAACGTGGCTTTTTGATTTCAAAGTAGAATTGGTTTGTTTTTTCTTTCAATCATAAATGGGTTTGCAATTTGCAATAAAAGTGGAGTGGGAAGGGCAGGGAGCGGTCGCGGGCAGCGGCAGCGCGTTATTTCGACGTAATTAAAACAAACAGGAGGAGGCTAGCCGCTCCTCTCTAATTGCGTTCGTGTTGAAATAATCACGAGTACTGTCACTAAATATCAATGCCTATAGTAAAACTATTAAATGTTCACCAGAATTGTATTGAAACTTTAATTTAGTCACAAGGTTGTAGCGCGCTCGTAGCGTAGCGTAGGCTGACTCTCTACGATGCTACGGCTACACCGTTCGATTTTGAACTGTGTGATGCCTAATCCAGTTCAAAGTTGCGATTACAATATAATATGTATATTAAAAAGCTAAAATTGTAGTTTTTATTTTATATTTTGTCACTATACTAAAAATAACCTTCCATAACTTATGGTGTGGTAATTCTAGATGGTATGTAGGAATATATATTTTAGGCAATTGAAAAAACAATGTTTAACGTAAAGAAAATACAGAATAAGAGAGAAAGAAAATTGATCATAATAAGCTCGCCGAGTGTGTTGCGGTAGATAGTCTTACCCTAAAAGGTATAATCATTTATTCAGCTTATAATAATATAGGAGCCAGCTTCCAAAGCGATGCTTGAAATATTCGGGTTTTTCAAACTTAATTTTACATAGGCCGAAATTAAAACTTGGCTTTTTATAACATTTATAAATATGGCTTTTTATACTATGAAAGTAATTATTAAGTCACAAAATCTTCTTGCCTCACTATAATATGGGGTATGTAAGGAATAAAAAGGTATATTTTTAATGGCATCACGTAAACTCTTTCTCCTCTAAAGTATATTTTATATAAATTGATACAGAAAATTGGGAAAGGGTATCGGTATGAATTGTCGATTGACAATAATTGTGTATTTTATGAGGAGTGGTGGCGGGTGGTGCGGGCCGCAAGGCTGCAGCGCGGCAGACAGTGCGGCGGTGCGACCGGCGCGGGGTGCGCGGGCCGCGGGGTGCCGCGCCGCCGCGATGCTGCGCGCCTCTCAGTCGAGACGCGAGGCCCGCCCGCCCTAGCCGCCCGTGCAAACGCCCGCCCGCCCCGCGCTCTCTAACACGCGCCCTTTTCTACATATTTCGCCCTAAACCGACTGTCATTACATAAATTCATTTCCATATTAAATATTTTATAAATACGAGTTCCTATTGCATTATCGGCTTATCTTTACTCTTTATCGGGCCTCTACGCGCGACACGTTAAGTATTTTCGTAGCTTTTGGGATGGACCGGAAGAGGGGTGAGGGGTCGCCGGATCCGCAGGGTAGCGGGGCGCAGGTCCCCGGCGGCGCGGGGTTAGTAGGTTCGCGATGTCGCGTCGCCGTCGGTCGGAATGCATTCGCGGACGTTAAGAGCGACCTGAGGTGTCGTCGTGGCCTCTACCTGAGGTCGGTCACCTCTTATCTCAAAATAATGCCAGTGCGGAAAAATTCTAAGGAATAAATCGTTTTTTTTTACAAAATCTTTTAAAAGATGCGGTTTAAATTTATTTCTATTTGGGTCACATAACGATGCAAGGTCACATTAGCTAGATGTCAACGAACCCCTCGTCTGGGTTTGCAGAAGGTCGATGACGTCGGGGTCATCGGGTTAGGCTGCCCGTGTTACCTACCACAAGTGATGCGCAGACAATTAAATCGGTAATACCCGGGAATCGTCAGTGGTTGTGAAGCATAAATCGCGACGCGTGTAGAAAATAAATTCGACTTAGACTTTGAGTGACTACGAGAATTATAAAGACGGAAGTGCGCCGTCGTCGACATCGTTCAGGGAGGCCGCCGCGATAACCCTGCCCGAATTAGTGCAGCGGCCCGGACCAAAATAGCGACGCGGCGTGTACGGTTTCATGCGGAGCGTCAACACAGATTACTTCAAAGATGAAACCACGCACAACGCTAGGTAACCACAAGATTTACGGGTGTACTTTCGTCGCAGAACTTCAGGTGCACGACGATATTCACGTTTACGAATGGATACGGGAAAAATCTCTGTAAGTATAAAATTGTATTTGCAGTAAGCGGTTGGTAGGTCGAATGGTAAGCTTACACTGCGTATGGGCGCACTGCGCGCGGGCCGCCCTATATGAGGCGCCGCCGTCTCGGCGGCATCGCTCTCGCTCCACCTCGTGCCTCTCACGCATCTATTCTTGAACTCATTAAACACACTAAATTCTACATGTTCTAAATATATGGGACGCCGCCTTCGTCCGATTACGTATCCGGATTTCAGTTTTAACAACAAAACTAATTTGAACAGCGGTGATTTAAAGGAATAAAATGTGTTATTGTGCTGCTGTGAGAAGAAGACAACATATGAAAGTGTAAGCCTTGTTCACTTTAGCTGGTTGACTTCGGGTCAAATTGTAATTTAAATATCATTTGGTCCCCTTCAACCAGCTGTAGTTGGCATCTGCTACACTTTCTTTCAACGTGAAACGGAATGGATGAATTGAAAAACGCTTGATGAGACTGTGCTTAAGAACAACATTAGTGACGAAAAAGTGTTTATGAAACAAGTAGCGACAGACTTCAACTAAGTGTACTGAACAAAATATCAAGACACAAATTGATGATTGGGGTTAAAATGAATACAAATTTAAATCATTCTTCTAGATTTAAGCGTTGAATGTTATAAAGTATTTAATCTTCACGTACAAATTAAATTTAAAAAAAAGCGGTCTTGTAATTTCTTGTGTTTGATAAATGAAAGCTATTTTTCAGAAAATAATTATGTTTAAGATAAGTAAGAAGTAATAAAACTAAAATTATAGTTAGTAAATGTATATGTTGATGTTCAATTTTATTACTCTGAATACGTATATGTTAATAATAATAATTGCTTCACATGTTATTTGCAATGTGACTAAATGTTAAAAATAAATTTCTTTGTCTGTAAAAGTTATGTTTGATAAATAAGGTAATTAACAATTATGTATAATCTTCAAAGAACTTAAAATCTTTAAAACCCTCACTCCGACTTGCTACCACTTTCTAAGACAAAAGGTTGGGATCTAGAAATTGATCGGTACTCTATGACATCATAGAACCACTAATTTGAACCCACATACAGTAAATGTCTATAGTCTACGTATACGAACATTACTCATTCCGTAAAGTAAAGACAAATATGTACACAGCTAATGGATAAATCTTGAGAAAGCTGGGGATCAAAGTAATTAATTTTAAGCATCCTTTGAAGTTACTAAGTTTAAATTGTTGCTAATAATCAGAAATTATACTGAGATTGGGTGTAAAAATGTATATTAAATCTTGTTTAATTCAGACCGACAGCTTGCTTACAATAATTGTCAATAAGGCTATACAAATAATTATTTACTTTTACTGTTTCAATTTCTAGCAATATATATTTTAATTAATATTATTAAACCAAAATTACAGCACGAATCAGAGCTTACATAGTTTCACTATTGCGTATAGGCTAAAAGTTATTGCTTAACAAACCTTTTACAGCTAATACAGATTTCATATTTTATGACAGCGGTTGTGACTCGCTAGGGGGAGGGTTGCAAAAACGCCGAAGGCACTGGCGGCGACGCGACGGGCTGTGGTGAGACTTCGTACCATAAATCAAAGACCCCCGAGACTGAACCTAACTACGAAACAATGAAACATTTCGCTACAACAAACTGTCTCTTATCTACAATCACGTATTGCAACGGCGTAATCATAGAGTCGCGTGTACAAATATAAAGCGAATTAGCTATTTCGTGTATAACATTTGGGGTTGTTTCAGTGACATTGGCGTGTGGTGGCGCCTTACTCGAAATACGGCTTAAAAGGAAATCACCTGGCAGACCATTAACCTAATTCACGGTGCCGAAGACAGGGCGAGACGCGGGTGGCGATACAGCTCCCGTTTTAATAACGCTTCGCTGCCGGTAATAAGATGGAAATAAGGCGCTAAAGAAATGGGCCAATCAGTGTCTTAACGTAACATTGACCCGGGTAAGGTTCCAACACCGTACTACCAAGTATTATATTATGAATATATCGATCTAAAGGTACATATACAAATAAATGGTACTAAGTTATGGTTTCATACATTTTTCAGACGTCGTAAATAGTTTTATTAATTAATCTATGAATAAATCAAGTAATACATTTACAGTATACTTCCATATAGGTTCTGTATGTCGTTAAATTTAAGAAAGTGCTCTGTATTAAAAATTTGAAATTAAAAACATCTTACGACGCGAAATATTCATACGTAAAAAGTCCCGAGAATTTATTTCCGGTGCATTACGGTACAATGGCTGGTTGGAATTAAATATTTGAGGTGCGGCGAGTTAGTGCTCAGGTTTATATAACGACACACTACGTTCGTGCGTCGAGGGAAAATTTAATTATTGCTTCACCACACTCCACACTTCAACACACGTCTAAAAGCTCGAAATTTCTGTAACATTAAATTATACGAACTCTCGTGTTGGCTTATTTTGTGTAGTTGCTGTCCGACATAATATTTTGGATTTCAAATATTTTATGTAAAATATGATGTGCATTTTTCATAATTTGAAAATGCTATGATTTACATAAACACTGTCCTTTTTTCATTTTATACTGTACGTAGACTCTACTAGCCCATGTAAACGACACGAAACGTAATAGATTTATAATAGTGAAAATGTTGTTATTATTTGTTGAAATTATACTTTTAAAATAAATGAACGCATTTAGTAAAGGTTTAATGTATAAATGTTTAGGATTCTTTAAAATTTATCGCATATCTTAATATTTATAAATTACGTGTCACGTTGTTTGTCCGCTATGGACTCCTAAACTACCGAACCGATATCAATCAAATTTGCACACCGTGTGCAGTTTGATCTAACTTAAAAGAACTTAAAGGACTTAAACTTAAAAGAGCTTACATCTCAATTTATACCCGCAATATTATTTTCTTGCAAAATATTTGTTTATTATTTAAAAGTCACAATTCTAACAGATGGCGCTGTGTTGAAAGTACGAACGTTTCACATAAGCTTCAATTTAATGGCATAGCCACCAATAAAGCATGGTGGTCCCCATGACTGGTGTTCTCCTACCGTTTCCCTTGATTAGGGTACTACTATGTAATATAACAAAAACCTTAGCCACAGCAACGCTTGGCCGGTCTACTAGTAAGTTATATAAATGTAGCAGCAGATTAAGATTTAGAAAATGTAGTGATAGTATCACACAGTATTATTTTAGTTCTAAGTACAATAAAAAATTAATGATAACAAAAGTATTTCACACTGCGTATTACAGTTAATTAACTTGAAGTTAGATTAGTAGTTCAAATTTTGATCTCGTTAATTTCTGTTCATTGTACGTAATTTCCAAATCAAATTCTGTTCCATAGAACATTCTACACCAAACATTAAATCTAGCCAAACTAATGCAACTTGATTGCACAGCCAACAGAAATCCAATACTAATAGTGCAACGTTACTTCGGCCGAATTGTTAATCCGGACATTATCAAGGTTTAGCTGTGCGCCTACACGTTCGCATATTGACTCGAATGAATTTACAGCGATCATAAATAACAGTGCAAAACCGAAGCTTTAATGTATGCATAAGTAAATGATCATGGAGGCTGTGAATCGATCAGCTAATGGGATATGAATGAAGCGCAGAGGCTGTACACAAGTTGGAATCTAATGGAATTCGCTTGTATGCAAACAAGCCACAGCGGGGTCCTCACCTGCGGGACGTGTACCGTACATTCTGTATAAAAAGACACATTAATATTTAAATTCCGAACAATTTTGTGTAAATATCACCCAAGATATTTTTTAAATAATGTTCCTTAATACTTAATAAACCATTTTTTATATTCTTAATAATTATTGAAGTATATTAATATTATTTTGTCATACATAATGTTGGCCATTAATCGTTGAACAACTAAAATTGTTTTGACTTTGCTGTCTGAATGGTAAGGCATTGTAATTGTAAAATTACACATAAATAAAAACTTATAAATGTTGAACAGCATCGGTGTTTTAAATGTACAATACTTTTTGAAATTAATAAAAAAATATTCACGTCAATACATTATTAAACTCCCGGGATCAAGACACTATTCACAACCATGAGAAAGAAATTAGGTCAAATATTAAGAAAATGAAATCGTAGGTTTATTTTCATTGCGGCACTTTTATAGGTCAAATACACATGCAAACAGAATAACACATTAAATACATATCTTTATATATAGTGTATTTAGGGAACACAATGTTATTGGTTTCGCGAATTTAATCAGTATAAGAGTACGTCATCTATTAATTAATAAATATTGCTCTATTTACTCTATTCGTCAAAATATAATATTATTAGTCATCAGTGATTAACACAAGTTTATTAAACCCTTCATTAAAGCGAATATTGAATTGTTAAACATTATTAAAATGTTTGAAATATGTGTACTTGGGATTCGTTATCATAATATAAAACAAGTATTGTATTATATCTATATTTTGATATACAAGTCCAACGCCATGTGCCAAACTGGCATATTTTTTTTTAATTCCCCGACATTCAAACCCAGTATTCATCCTATTGGATAGACTTGTAATCGACGCGCAGGAATACGCTCTACAAAATGGTTGACGCTTAAGAAAATGGTTGACTTAAGACCTGGGTAAGTATAATACTGATTCTAGGAACCACAGAATCAATATTAATATAAATAATAAACCGTTGCAAACAAATGAATGGATTAAAAATAATGCATCAAAAACAAATATAGTATTCAGCTAAACCTGTTGTAACACAAATGACAATAATTAAACATTGTGATTTTGTATGTTATCGTTTATTAGTTCAATTAATCATTTTGATATCGGGTTGACAAATCCAGTTAAGGAATTCGGGTAAGCATTTAACCTCGACCAGATTGAACTGCGTAGAATTCCTTACATAAGCGCTCTGCTATAATATCGGAAAAGAGATCAGAAGTTAATCTATTGGCAACATTCCTCGAGTTTCGCCGGAAGGCACCGTGCCGAGGCTCAACGTCCGCTTTCTAAGGTTCTATTGCACGCGAGCAGGCCTTAACCACATAATATCAACCATAGTAGCCTTCTTTTAGCTTTTGACAAATTGTTTTAGATTGTCTTCAATCATGTAAAACTAATGTATTAT